GCCGGAGTCCCCTAATTTTTTACTATCTAACCCTTTTTTTGAATAAAATTTACATTTGGCCCCCTGAGAGACTTAAACTCATCTTTGGACCCTGGGGGTCGGCGCCATGAGTCCTGACGCCGAGGTGACACGTCTCAGCGCCACAGATCTTGGCGCCGAGGTGCCTGGCCGTGCATAGAAGAAAATCCTACGTGGCTGGTAGCTCAGCGCCAGAACACATGGCGCCGAGCTCGGCGCCACAGATCTTGGCGCCGAGCTCGAGCCACTGGCGCGTTGACGGCGCGCGCGACGAGGCGGACAAGGCTGACGCCTGCTGAGTTGATGCGCGCCTGCTGCTCACTGCTTTTGATGGCAGCTCCGGGTGCCCTGCTCCCTTTCACTGCGCTGGAGTACGATGCGATTGATGGCAGCTCCGGCTTTGGTCACGTGAGTGGCCCCCGCGCTGAGCGTCTAGCCCATGATCATCGATGGAAGTCACAAAACTTGTATTCAACTGTACCAACATATGTATATTAAAAAAATTAAAGTTATGACCAAATATTTCTATGCTTTGTAATTAGATATTAGAGTTCTAATTGGAGGAATATGCGATGAACTAGAGATTAGTCATAATTGGTTTATTATCCTGTCTGACCCGAACTCATACCACATGCTTATATGAGTTAGTGCAGACCTAACCAAAACATATTAAAACACAAAACTTGGTATTTAAATGTACCAACATATGGATAATACAAAAATTAAAGTTATGATATATTTACGACCAAATATTTTTGTGCTTTGTAGTTAGATATTATAGTTCTAATTGGAGGAATATGTGATGAATTAGAGACTAGTCCTAATAATTAGATTAAGATATACCAAACTTTGGAATTAAAGATTATGAAACAGACTATATATCTTGCTAAATTTAAAATTAAAAGATATGAAGATTATATATAGTTTGTTTCATATCTTTAAAATTAAAAGATATGAAGATTATAGCAAATCCTGCTGAGCCGAAGGAGGGCCCTGTGGCGCCCATGGATTGTAGCAAATCCAGGGGCCCATGGGTCGGTATTGGCCGTTCTGGCCAGCCGGCTGGGACGTGCTTGCAACGCCGCCGCGCTGCTGCGCAGGGCCGCTGTTCCAGCCACGCCGGCCCTTGCCCTTGCTCTTGCCACTGCTGCTGTTGCCACCGCCGCCGCCCTTGTTGCTGCTGCCGTAGCCGGTCACGTGTGGGTTGTGTGCACCTCCAGAGGTGGCTGTGGCAGCAAGAGCACAGCACCCGCCCGGGCTGGTGCAGCCAGACCCGGCAGTGGCGAGGAGGGCAGTGCTGGCGACCGTCTTTTCATCGTTGGCGAGACGGAGCTCCTTTAGTGCCAGCATGTCATGGGCTGAATGTGGGAAGTACAGCGGAGTTGGCGATGTCGTCGGCGGTGTTGGAGAAGCGAGGATTGCGGCCACGCAGAAGGGCGAGGACGAGCTGCGAGTCCTCGACAGGATGGCCAACGCCGCGAAGAGCGGCGGCCTTAGTCTTCAGCTGCTGGCAGTACGCCGAGATGGTGCTGTCACCTTGCACCATGGAGTGAAATTCGTTGAGGAGGAAGATGGCGCGCGGCTCCCGGTTGGCGCGGAAGATCCCCTCAATGGCCACCCACAGATCACGGGTGGTTGGATCGGCACCGTCCATGGTGAGGTCGAGGACGGAGTCGTCGACGGAGCCGGAGATCCAGCCCCGGACGCAACACTCTGCGGCATCCCACTGAGGATCATCAGGTCGAGGGGGAGCAGAGCCGTCGATGTGCGAGCGAAGGCCGAACTTGCCGCACAGCGACTTGAAGAAGAACGCCCACTTGGAGTAGTTGGATTGAAGGTCCAGCGTAATCGGGATGTGGGACTTGACATTGACTGTGGCGTAGTGGTGAGCCACGATCGGTGCAGCAGCGCCGGCGCTCATGGCAGGCATGGTGGGAGTGCCTGTCGCGGGTAGGGTGCCGGCACCGGTGGCCGGGGAGGAGGCGGAGGCGAGGGAGGCCGACGTGTCCATCGGAGAGGAGAGAGGGAGCAGCCGGTGAGGGTGGACGGGCGCGAGGGAGTCGCGCGCGTTGGGGCTGCGGCGCGATCAGGAAGGGGTCGCACGGGGGGGAAGGGCAGAAAAATAGGATCTGATAGTCTGATACCATGTAGAGACACACCTCACACCCAATATGGGGGGGTGACCTTCATATATATAGCCAATATGGCTGGGTATACAAGGAATACAATCAAGTATACATAGCAGGTGCTAATTATAGCTAATCACACATAGACCTGCCTAAAACGAACAAATATAAGAGCAGCCAGGTTTTGCTAATTGAAAAATAGTTGTTTTGTTTTTCTTCAAAAGATGAAACAACCTAACCATTATTGGGAACTGGCTGGCTACCACCTGTTTTCTTGACTATTGACGGCTGTTCAGAATTTAATATTTGCATTCAAATTTAACTTGCCGGCAGTTTTTAAGAAACTGATCTGATTTGGATGGCTTGGCCCCAGCACCTTTTGCTGGCTTGTTAATCAGCCGCTATATTCTCTTTTTGAAGGTTGAACTAGCAGGATTGATTCTCGGGAGGGGCATTGGTTCGGACAGAGAAGCTGCGAAGCTTCTGGTACTGTGTTTTCTAGTGCTTCCCTTTTTAAAATCTTGTATATATGCATTCATTGCCACATTAAATTGTTTTTTTCCATCTGGAAGTGCACTAAATTTTATGCAGATGGGATCACAATTCAGAATTACATTGGTAACCAACCAACTATCCGGTCTAGAGGAGATTAGTACACAGGTTTAGGTGAAAGTAGTCTTCTGTTACTGTATGTAAACCGTTATCAAAATGGGGAAACAAAGTTAGATAGAATTGTGAACATATTATGTACCTTTTTTTAGAATTGAAATTCATTTTCACCTAAGTAGTAATGAATTTCAAATTGTTTCCATATTCTACATGCACTTCTGCAGGTAATTGATTACCCAAATCGTTACTAACTGGAAAAAGCAAAAATAAATTGAGTGAACTGTCTAACGTGCTGCATTCATTATTCAAAAGAATGTGCTATTTTGTTCTGGCAAAAACTCAGCATGGTACAGTTTTATAGGACTCGAGATCTCAAATTTGATATAGAGTCATGACAAGTTCTCAAACTTACTTTCATGTTTGTGTTGGGAGATGGTTGTCTCTTTACATGTCAAAACAATTAGCCTTGAAAATTTCTCTGCACTAGGTCATTTCTTGGGTGCCCAAACCAAAACTTCAGATGTGGAAAATGGGAACAAATTATGCATATGATTTACAAAAAAACAAACTATACCTGCAGAGCAGCAATGGAAAGATTTCTTTCATCAGCGCTTGTATCTTTGGAAACAAATTACTGCAGCATGGTTTAAACAGTAATCGTTTCAACTGAAAATTTAATCAAAATAAGAAATCTCATTTGAGCAGTTTGTTCAGGGTTTATGCCATGCCAGTTACCAGTCAAATTGGCTACTTGACCCATAGTGGAATGTATAGTCTTGCGGGACACCTACCTTCAAACGATGATGCATACTATATGTGTTTCTTTCCTCCGAAAAATATAGTATTCGTTAATTTACTATGTAGCTAGGATCGTGACAAATGTAATTACCCTTAAATACACAAATAATTGTTAGCATAATTACATGGTGATATGTCACTTTGTTGCGGAAGGCTGACGTGTATCAAGCACTATATTTTACTTTTGTACTCAGTTATTCTTGTCCCACCTCTTTTGGTTGCAGGCTGCAGAAGAGGCACTGAAGACCTTAAAATCAACCACTGACCCACAAATTAGGAAGTATCTGAGACCTGTAAGGTAATAATTTGACTGTTCCACTTTTTTGCTTTTAGGATGTTTTCGCTCTTCAGTTTATTTTGTAACTTCTGTAGAGTACAGAATAGCTTGAATTTGTTTATTATTGTGGTGTATTTTGTATCCTTCGTAGAAAATCGTCATCTTTGGACATTTTGGGTGGAATATTAAATGTTTGTCGTGTGGTCAGTCTTACGGTTTCCTTTTGTCCTGTCTATTTCAGATGCAATGGCTGATTTCCTTCAACGCTCTGAGCTCCACAACCAAATGAGCTTAATATTCAAGAAGGATGGAATGTGAGGGCAACAGCTCATTTCACCGTTACAGATGTCATTGATTTCGCAGAAGTGCATCACCCTTTCTGTGAGTATGGTTGGCATCTCACCTCGAGCACATGATGTGTGTCAAACTGTAAGCACATGTCTTGTTCTGGAAAGCCTGGCTTTGAAGGACCACATAGAGAGCGGACATGGTGCTTTATGGATTCTTTTGACCATCTTCATCAAAGAATCTTCCCATGTACAACTTGTTCCCATACAAGTATAGATGTTCTGTCTTGTTTAGGATAGTGCGTAGTTGGCTGTAAACAAGTAGGAGAGTAGATGTGGATCTAAAATTCTAAACTGTTCTGAAGGGTGTGGTGACTCATTAACAGTTATGGATCGTTAAAAATGGAATGCGTGTACCAGTTGTCATGTTTACATGTCTATTATTAATGGTGCTAAATCCTTTACAAACTTATTTCAACCATGAATACATTCGAGTGCTAATATTTGTTGAGTTATACACTCTCATCTATTCCTCTTTTGGAGTTACCACCACAGATTCGACTTCTCATGGAACTGAGATTTGCCATATTGTACAGATGGAGTCTGCCTTCACAACAAGCGGATAAGAAGTGGATGATTCTCACCTTATTAGTCACTATTTCTAAACTGAACATACTTGCAGTACTAGTTACTTATCTCCTAGTAATTGCTATATGCAACACAGTGCTGGGGAAGACGGCTGATGTTTGCTGCTGTTACTGGAGTTTCAGTTACAATCCTCAGCGCTGACGTTTCTTTCAGCGTAGAAAAGTGAGTTGAAGGCATTGGTGATCCTTCAAAACAGCAGGTTTGCAGCATATACACAACGGTAGCTGAAGCTGAATATCATGTTCTTGTTGTGCCGATCTGGAAACCGAGGATCCGGAGCAGCTGCTGCATGGCTTTCCCGGCCCAGGCCAAGTCGTTCTCAAATATACTTGTCGGCCTATTCGGCAGCAGATCACCTCCCTGATACAAGGTAGTGTCGTCGTTGTCGTTGCCATTGCCAGCATAATCATCGGCAGAAGGGGTGCCGTTTTGTTCTCCGGGGACCTCTTCAAGAATCGTCTGGTGTTTGTCCACCATCAGCTGATTCAGTAAAGAGAAGAATTGTCAGGTATATGCTTCTATACGAAACAAGATGTGATGCGTGTTTGTGGTTACCTGTGGTTGGTCCGTTCCATTTGCTGCTACCATTTCCCCCTGCAGAGGAGCATCTGCAACCACCGCAGCCGACCTGTCGGTCTCCAGATTCTGATGCTTTTGGGGATTATCTGCCGTATCTGCCGGCATTGCGCCATTTGTTCCTGCAAGATCCTCTGAAAACATCACATCTTCTTCCCCGATGGAGAGCTCTTCCTCCTCTGATATTTTCTGTTTGTTGCCGTGATCCCAGTCTTCGTGGACAACCATGGTGTTTGGGGTTTCAGTAATTTGCAGAGTTCTGTTAGTGCCATGCTGCCAACGGACATGCCCCGAGGCATCTCGCAGCAGGAACTTGAACTCGATCGACCTGTTCGCCGGCAAATCCTGGTCAGACAAACGATCGAGTCAGACTCACATGGCCCAGGGTCGCTGAAGGAACGCACTTACGCACGTGACCGGAGAGCTCACCGTGTTCGCCGTCCAGACGTGGCCTTCTGACCAAACCAAGGCGGTCGCCTTAGCCGGATCCCAAAGTCCGAGCGCCGCGTCGTCGCCGACGACGAGGAACTGCTGGCCAAAGGCGCACTGCTTCCTCAGCACGAACTTGACGCGCACTGTCCTGGCCTCAGGAACTGGCACGGTCAGATTCACGAGACGTGCCAACGTTAGTTTAGTGTCTTTTGTCGTCCGTATAAACCACACCACTGACATGAACCTCTTGTTCTTAAACGGCTATTCGCACGACGACTGGGAGTAGAGCCCATACCGTCAGCAGCAGCAGCAGCAGCAGCGGGAGGCAAGAGGTTTTCGGCATAAACAAGGGAGTCCAGATCATCATCCTCACCCACCTGCACCGAAATCAATGGACTTCGTATAGTTGTGTGAATGTGTGATCGCGAATTCGCGATCGAAGCTTGTGGTGACAAGCCAACGACCTACAGCAAGACAACATCGGATTACCTCCAGCGCCACGGCCTCCTCGCCCAGGGATTGCTCCGGGAGTGGCTCCCCGACCCCGAGCGACGCGACGAGCAGCCTTCTTCGAGCGGCGAACGGGGCGGGGCCGACGGCAACGCCGTGTTCCCACGCCCGCGTGCGCGCCCTGCTGCCTGGACGGGCCCGCGCGAGCAGCCCCGCGCGGCACGCCACGGCCGCGACTTCCATCGGTTTCGAGCTCGGCGGATGCACTACGATAGCTCTATTTAGGATTCAACAGTTGAGTGGCTGGATACAGAGAGATCGGCGGTAACGGAGGTCGCCGGCGTTCTCGAGCCGCAGCTCGCCGCCTAAGTCCGACGCCAACCAAGATAAAACGAACCAGCTTTCCTCACTCTCCTTTTCTACTCCTCGCTTACAGCTGTTGTGGGAACAACGGACTCACCCGATGCAACGGGCCTGCTGGTCACCCATTCTGAACCAGCATATCTTGTACTAGGCCTCCTCTCCCTCTTCAGCTTTGGGCTTCTCAAGCTTGGCAACTTGTCAGTAGGCCGGACCGTGACGTCACCCCCTCCATTAGCAATGGCTTGTCCCCAAGCCGTGAACTCCGGGAACTTCTGGAGCAAATCGTCTTCATCTTCCCAGGTGGCCATCTCAGCTGGGGACTCCACCCACTTCATCAACAATTGATGGTAGATACGGTTGTTTCTTGTAATGGCCCGATGATCCAAGACCAAATGTGGAGTCTGCACAGGAGGGATATCTGCAGGTAATGGTGAAAAGGAAACAGCACCGGTACCTTTGACAGGCTTCAGGAGTGAAACATGTAAGACATTATGTACTGAAGAGCCTGGACGGAGTTTCAGCTCGTAGGCAACAACATCAATTTTAGATTCCACTTCATATGGCCCGAAGTATCTGAAAGAAAGTTTGGGGCTAACCCGAGAGGCAACTAATCCTTGGTTGAAGCTTGAGCCAGACACGGTCACCCACCTGAAACTCATGTTCACTGCGATTTTTATCAGCTTGGTGCTTCATCCGTTGCTGGGCACGCAGCAGTTGTTGCTGAAGGATGGAGTTAACAGATTTCCTCTGTTGAAGCCACTGGTCAAGATCAGGAATGACACAGTCTGGATCCGGGTCAACACCGAAGTGGTTTGGTTAATGACCATACAACACTTCAAACGGTGAATGTTGCAGAGAAGAATGGTGGCAAGTATTATACCAGAATTCCGCCAAGTGCAACCACTGTGACCATTTGTGAGGACAGGCTTGTATAAAGCATCGGAGATAAGTTTCAATACACTGATTGACCGACTCGGTCTGTCCATCACTTTGCGGATGGTAAGCTGAACTCATGCAGAGTTGAGTACCAGTGAGCTTGAATAACTCCTTCCACAGAAGACTTGTGAAAATTTTATCCCTGTCCGAGACTATGGTCGTAGGCATACCATGTAGCTTGTAAATATGTTCCATGTACTTTTGAGCCACAGTGAGTGCAAAAAAAGGATGTTTCAGCTTCACGAAGTGGGAATACTTCAAGAACTTGTCAACCACCACTAAGATACAGTTATAGCCTGATGAAATTGGGAGACCTTCAATAAAGTCCATGGTGACCACAGTCCATGCCTGAGATGGCATAGGCAAAGGTTGGAGCGACCCTGGATAAGGAACATGTTCAGTTTTTGCCTATTGACAGACAGCACATTCAGACACAAAGACTTTGATGGTGGTCTTCATATGTGGCCAGTAGAACAGTTTGTTCATTCTATGGTAAGTGACCAAGAACCCAGAATGAACACCTATGGGGGTGTCATGCAACTGTTCAGTAACCTTAGTCTGAAACTCAAGAGAGTGCCCCAACCAGATAACCCCTTTGTATTTGATGATACCCTGATGCAGATTGAAGTTGCCCGAGGGGTTCTGTTAAGCTAGTGAGCTTAACATCTTTTGTGCAACTGCATTTGAGTCGTAACTGAGTTGTAAGTTTTGAAGCCACAGTAATAGCGTTGAGATCAGCAGCAGGATGCGGAGCTCGTGACAAGGCATCGGCGGCAGAATTTGTGATGCCCTTCTTGTAACTGGTCTTATATTGGTAACTCATCAATTTTGTCAAAACTTTTTGTTGCCAATATGTATGGAGTCTCTGATCAGAAAGGTGGGTGAGGCTCTTGTGATCAGTATTGATGACAAACTAAACAGGTTGCAAATAAGCTTTCCACTGATCTATGGCCAGCAAAATTGCCAAACTTTTCTTCTCATAGGTGGACAACCCTTATGTCTTGGACCCCAAAACTTTGCTGACGTAAGCGATTGGATGTCCATCCTGTTGCAGAACTGCCCCTATGCCTGTTTTGGATGCGTCTGTTTCAATGACAAATGGTTTTGTAAAATTGGGAAGTGCAAGAACTAGAGCAGACACCAGAGACTTCTTTAACAGTTGAAAAGCCTCTTCACAGATAGCAGTCCAGAGAAAAACCTTGCCCTTTTTAAGAAGATCAGTAAGTGGCTTGGCTATCAACCGAAGTTCTTCACAAATCGCCTATAATAGCTGGCTAAACCCAGAAAGCTCCTAACATCTTTGACAGATTGTGGTAAAGGCCAAATCTGAACATCTCTAATTTTGCCTGGGTCAGTAGAAACTCTATTAGGACTAAGAATATGACCCAAATAAGAGAGTTTTTGCTGGGCAAATGAGCACTTAGATAGTCTAACTTTGAACTGATTGGCTTGGAGCAACTGGAAAACTAGTTGTACATGTTGTACATGTTCTGTATATGTCTTGCTATAAATCAATATGTCATCAATGAACACCACGACACATTTTCTCAGTAGTGGAGACAAAACATGATTCATAATAGATTGGAAGGTGGCTGGTGCACCTATGAGACCATATGGCATGACCAAGTATTCATAGTGGCCATGATGTGTTTGAAATGTTGTCTTGTACTGATCTTCAGGAGTGACTAAAATTTGGTGGAACCCAGACCTTAAGTCTAATGTGGTGAACCATGCAGCTCTATAAAGCTCCTCAAAAAGTTCTTCAACGATGGGCATAGGAAACTTATTTTTGACTGTATAAGCATTGAGCCTTCTATAGTCGACACAGAGTCACCATTCACCAGATTTCTTTTTGACCAAAAGGGCAGGAGAGGCAAATGGACTGGTACTTTCTTGTATCATGTTGGATTTTAGCAAATGAGCCACTTGCTTTTCAATCTCATCCTTCTGAGATGGAGTGTATCTGTATGGCTTAAGCCTGAAGGATTGAACGCCAGGAACCAAAGGAATGGAATGTGTGAGAGTGCTATTGAGAAGAGTACCAGAAGGCTCGTCAAATAAGTCAGCAAACTGAGTAACTAACTCCTGAATTTCAGGGTGTAATGCCTGTGTAACTGGTTCAGCATGCTGTTCAATAGAATATAGCTCCACAATACCCCCAAACTAAATCTTGTTTCTCCATTGCTATGAGCTGATTCAAAGTTATCTCATTAACATTAGCCACAACATCTTGAACCCCATGTAGCCAAATAGTAGAATTTTTGTGGTCGAAACTAAGCCACTTCTCTTTCCATTGAATTTGCATAGGAATAAAAGTTTCAAGCCACTCCATACCTAATATAGCATCATAGCATTGCAGAGGAAGAATTTTGAAGGTTGTAGTAAACATGACTCCTTGTGCTGTCCAAGAGCAATTGACCACCTCATGGGAGCAGGCAAGGGTGGCACCATCAGCTACCTTGACTGACATAGAGTGTTTTAAGGGAGTCTAGGGATGTAAATCAGTGGCCATGTGCTCACTAATGAAGTTGTGAGAACTACCAAAGTCCACAAGAATAATAGCAAGTTTCTGATGAATGTAAGCATGAATCTTAAGTGTGTGAGCTGCACAGGTGCCTTTAACAGCCTGGTCAGAAAGAGCCATCAATTCATCAGGATCTAAATCAGAATTGGATTCATTAGAACAGTCAGCATATTTTTCCAAGAATTGCCAAACTTCTTCTATGATGTTTAAGGGAACAGTAGCTAGGCACTTGTGTTGTGGTCCCCATTTGCCACCACACTTGAAACAGAATCCTCTAGCTTTCCTATAAGTCATTAGTGCAGATAGCTTCTCATTAGGCTTGGCAATTGGTTCGGAAGTTGGTGGTTTAGCAATCAAAGGCTGAGCTAGAACTGCCCCAGAAGTTGTTGTGGCCCTGACTGCAGCTTTGTGAGAGACATAACTGTCCAGTTTTTTGAAATCTTGGACGACAGGTCCAGCCAGTACTTCTTCCTGCAAAATGGCAAGAGAGCTCTGTAACACCTCAGTGTTAAGCATGCATTAACATTTTGCAAATCATGAGCATAATCATTATTTTGCATGCATACGCATGACATGAAATATAGAATGGAAACATACTAATGAAACATGTATGTGGCATAGTTTTGTTTTACTAGATTGGGTGCTTAGTTTGTTTTGCCATGTGTGCATGAAACGTGTGAAACATGACTATGAAACAAATGTAACATTTCAATTGTTTTTCATTGTTTCAGTACATACAGTGCTTGATTCTTGTGTGACCAATGTGTGATGTGGCTAATACTTCTCTTAAACAACTTAGTGACACCTAGAATGTCATTTGGAACAATGTTCATGTTGATCAAATTGTCTAATTACACTTCTAAGTAATAGTTTGACTTGTGTTGACCCCTGGAGCTCTGTTGTTTGACTGTTTAAGAAGTACAACTTAGAGTGTTTGTATGTTTGAGCAACCTAAAAACAAGTTGTAGCAAATTATATAAGGAACAAATTTTGTTTAGAGGTCAAGTCATGAAAACGTGCACAACATGCTCAAAAAGTTCCCACAAGTCAGTTTTGGGGGCAATTTGGTGACTTAGAAATTTTCTAAGTCTTGAGACTGATTTTCAGTTTCATGTACCTATGTTTGGAGCCCTGTATCTCCCTAACTAGGCCGAACCAGCTCAAGTTCCAATTGGAAAAGTTGTAGTCCTCACTTAGATCTCCAACTTTGTCAACTACGCCAGGAGCCAGATCAGCACGGTTTAGGAGTTATAGATCAACGAAAACTCGCTGTCAGACGTCGGTGGGGTGAACTGAATGGAAGCTACAGTGGCCAACCATTTCAGAGCATCATCGCCGCGTGTATGCCGAGCGTCGCCGTCGTCCTGAGCAGCCAGGCCACGTCGGGCCTCGGCATGGCATTTCATCCCGCAGCGCTCGCCCGTGACCCGTCCGCGCTCGCATTCCGTTTTCCTGCTCCTCCCTTCGCCTTCGCAGCAATGCAGCAGCAGCAGCAGACCACCGCCGCGTTGCCGTCGGCGTTGCCCACACCAGCTCGCCCGCGTTGATCTCTCGCCACCGCAGTAGAGCCACCGTGATCCCACAGTCTCACCGCGACCACATTGACTAGCTAGGAGCGCTCGGTAAGTCATCTCGCCGCGCGGACCTCACCGGTGTTCTGCCGCTGAGCCCCGTCGTCGTGGCCAGGATACCTCCGTCCGCCATCCGCCGTGATAGCTTGTGCTCTAGCATCGCCGTAGTTGGTAGAGTCTTGGCCGAGCCATAGATTGAGCTCTCGTGGCTAGCTCCGGCGCCTCGCTGTCGTGCCACGCCGCCGAGCCGCCATGGCCGGCGACGAGCCCCCTTCCGTGCACCTCTAGGCTAACCACCGGTATGGTTCGATGCGGGTGAGTGAGGTGAACACTTTGGTGGGGTCGGGTTCGCCGGAGAAGCCGCCGTTGGTGAGCTCCGTCGATTCCCCGTCGAGCAGTGCCGTGACTCTATTTTAGTGCCGCTGACAGGCGGGGTCCACTGCCGTGTGGGTCCCGAGCGTCAGTGACTCAGCTTCTGAAAGCTAGTGCATTTGTTCAGATTTGAATGCTGTTTGTGAATTTTGTATATCCATTTTGGTAGATCTAAATGGTGTGATTATATTTTTTGTAGAATCATAGTAAAGTCTAGTATTTAGTAAAAATATTACATGAACACTTGAAGTGGAAA